ATGTTGACATTTTCGACCACAACCAATAAGTATAACGATGGATAGAATCTAGGACTTGTTAAAATAAAAATGAAAACAAAATGACAAAATAATATGACGAGGCTGGACTAATGCATTTGAACTTTTATATCTTTTCAAAGAAGATCAAACGAGAGGTTCTCGACGAAACATTAAAGAAATTACGAAATGGGTCAGATATTAATATTTACTCAGTGTGTTTTTGTGCCTTCTTGTATTTCTTTCAAGACTGACTAGAATGAAATTATATTAAATAAGACAAAACGCTATTCTCATATTGAATTTTTATTATCACTAGAAATTTTTGTCTATTTCTCGGTATTATTTTTATTGAAGTCCGAGGAACCCTGTCGAAATCCTTTTCTAAAGTAACAACAAATGTTATAAATAAACCAACTTTCACTTCTAAATGATTAATGGAATTCGCAGAAAATCTTTCGTCGTAGTAAAAGGCACAGTAAACTGCACTAGAGTTCTCCATAATCTTTTAATTACTTACTTTGTTTAGAATATTGTTTACTTACTACAACGAAAGTTAGAGGTGTAAGTTGGTTGAATGTACTGTACGTCTTTCTTATTTGTCATAAATATGGCAACTTGGCAACTTCAAATATTTTTATGCTAATATTTGAAGGAAACTTGGTCCCATTTTTTTTAGATTGTATTCTTCATAATTTGAGTAATATTTTCAAGAATATGCTCTTATAATGCTTGTTATTTTATATTCATCACATGGTTTATTGTTTCTAAAGATCTCTGTCTCTCGTGATTTCTTTTAACTCATACATAGGTCTTTTGCATATTCCTATAAGTTAGTCGATCCATATTATTGGGAGTCTTCCTCGTGATCTTCGGCTTCCTACCTTTTCTTGAATAATAAGTCTTTCCGTGTTTTCTGCTGTCTAACATGTCCAAAGTATTTTAATTGTTGAAGAACCCTTTAGCTCATTTAAAAATGAATATTAATAACTTTGAAAACCGTGATTGACGAAGTGAAAGACGAAGAGAATTGTAATGTAAGAGATGTCTCTTTTTATTATAGAATTCATCTTGCGGTAACTAATGATGAGGGGCATACATCACGTGCAAAAGACGTTCAGGTTTGTCAAAAAGCTTTTGTGGCTCTTCATAGTATATCCACGAAAAGATTACAAACTATACAAAAATCCCTAAAAGATGGTACAACCGCCAAGGATAATAGAGGTAAACATAGTTCAAGACCCAATAAAAGTCTGAAGAAATTATGCAGTTAATTTTAAATCACATAAAATCATTCAAAGGGTGCATAGTTACTACAGCCAAAAAAAATCTAGCAGGAAGTACCTTCCAGAGAAATTTAAGATGAAAATGGTGTACAAAATGTTCCTTGAGAAACATCCCAATAGAGCAGTGTGCTATGAAGTATAAAGAAAAACATTCAACAAACGCTTTAATATCTCCTTTGGTTATCCCAGAACCGACACTTGCATAATTTTTGATGCTTCCAAAATAAAAATAAGGTAATGTAAAGATGAAGAATTTATTTATAAACTTAAAACAGGGCAGAACCTTCACTTGCTGAAAGCACAGACATTTTACAAACGAAAAATAAAAGCTAAACTACGAGCAAGTACCTTAAGAGGATATGAAGTCGTAGCCATGGACTGTAATAAAAACCTTTCAATGTCCAATATTACGAGTAACGACGTGTATTAAAAAGGCACTTGTAATATCTTTCGACTTAGTGATAATGATGTTATATATTCGTATCCTGAGACAGTAGCTCGAAAGAGTGCCAATGAAGTTTTCTCATTTCTGTATGACTATGTGACAATCCAGCTTCCTCCTGAAGTTAGTAACTTAGTGATTTTCTGTGATTCCTGTGGAGGCCAAAACAAAAATTGGACGGTATTCCGGTTTTTTACATTATTTAGTCCATAAAATTTTAGTGACCATTCCTATAAGAGTTCACTCCTACAAGGAGACGGATAAAGATTTTGGTATCGTTAACCAAAAAAGTGCAGCAGAAACCCCAGAAGATTGGGAGGCAGTGTTACGATTGGCTCGTCAAAAACCTGCGCCTTCTAAAGTAGAAGTGGTTGATAACTACTTGGTGCGTATCTGGGACACTTTTCTTGCACCTGCGTATGCTACAAAAGCACCTTTGAAAACTAGACCAATAAGAGAATTAAGCATTTCAAAGCAACATCCCAGACTAATTAATTTGAGGGACACCTACAATGGAACAATGGTTTCGGCTGTCATTAACAAAAAAGTGACTGGTAGGGAACCTCCGTATACTGGAAAAGAATTCGTTGTTCCTTCTCGATCCTATACTGAGTCACTGCCCATTCCAATGGCAAAATACAAAGATCTCCAAGTTAAAAAAAATTGTTTAGAAAAAGGAAGAATGTATTTTGATCAGCTAAAAAAACATGACTTATTTTTTATCTTAAGAATTTTACAATGTTATTGATTCACTTAACATATAATATTAATGTAGTAAAGTCTTCTGTTTATTTTTTCTTTCATTGAATTAATATTATATTTTGTCAATTACAGCGTTTTTGCCTTTTTACTCCAGACCTTTGGTTGTTTTGTTTTTCTTTTGTTACCTATTGTACATGACAATTTCAGTTTTATAATATCATACTCTGTATATATGTGTTTTCGAATACTCAAGACAATAGTGTTTTATGAAATGCATGTTCATTTTGTTAATATTGTTAATAATATTAGATCGTCTAACTAGAAAAAACTTCCTTGTAATAAAATAATGACTGTGACTTATTATTATTTTATTTCCATCAAAATTGACATATATACTTGTCTAAACTACAAAACTTAACTCATTAACTTATTTACAACATAGGATCGTAAATTACGTAGATGCCTTCTTCATTCTGCTTTAACACCTTCCCTCATTGAGTAATTTTCCAACCCGATTTCAAAAAGTAATTTTTTCATTCTATTTGAAAACAGCGGCTTCGTCAAAACATCCGCTAACTGATTTTCAGATGACACCTTTACTACTTCAAGTGATCCATCCAATACCATTTCTCTAACAAAAAAATGTCTAATATGTATATGTTTAGTCCGGCGATGAAACTCGGGATTCTGCGTTAATCGTATGGCTGATTCATTGTCGACATGTAGTGTCGGAACCAAGCTAACGCCGGTTAATTCCGTAAATATTCTTTTTAACGAAACTATTTCTCGTGCAGCGTCACTTGCAGCTACTATTTCTGCCTCTGTTGTCGATATGGCTACTGATGTTTGTCTCTGACTAAACCAAGATACAGCTGCTCCAGCATAAAGACACAATACCCCAGATGTCGATCTTCCGGTTGTTATATCACCTCCATGATCAGCATCACTATAGCTTGTTAACTTAGGTTGTATATCTGGCTTTCGCATATAAGTTAAGCCATAATTTATTGTCCCATTCAAATAGCGGAATATTCTCTTAACTTTTACATATTAGCAGAGCGTACAGTACCTAAATGGTAAAGCTAGAAAATACAAGAAATTAAGTAAGAATTGAAGAAAAATTTTTAACTGTTTGGAAAGTGTCATCTCCATAAAGTAATAAAGAGCATTTTAAATTAAATCCAGAGTAAAATGGATCCCAGTAAGGTGCAAATAGGATTACTTGAAGGTAAAGAGAGTTGGACCACTTGGAAATACAAAATCTCTATTCTTCTGAGAAATGTAAAAAGTGCGATGGACGTCCTTGATGGTAGATTAACTTTTCCTAAGTCGTTACTCGAAGGAGCAACACAAGAAGAAAAATGCAAGTATGAAAAAGATGTTGCATTTTTTAATCAAACAGATAGTACTGTCTTATTAGTTCTTACAATAAATATGACTCAAAGCACATTAGAAAAAGTTATGAGATTTTCGACCGCTAGGGAAGTTTGGTTGGAGCTGCATCGTTTGTATGATGGTAATGCAACAGATAAAACCTATGATATCTGTATGCAATTTTTTTATTTATACTAGACAATCAGATGACGATATTGCTACTCATTCATCAAAACTTAAAAACCTTTGGAACAATTTGCAAAGCGAAATTTTCAAAGATAAAGCAGTTGCTGGAAATAATTGTAAGTGCGACTTGCCAGATATTTTGCTTATTTGTAAAATATTAGAAACTCTACCACCTGAATATTTCTCATTTAAGTCTAGTTGGATTCTGGTATCAAATAAAGACAGAACAATAGATAACTTGACAAATCAGCTATGCTCTTATGAAAAAGCATTAACAAATAAAAATGAGAGCAAGCAAGAAGTTTTATATACAGTGAATAAGAGTAAAGCACATAAATATAGTTATTATTGCAATTACTGTAAGCAAAAAGGTCATAAAGTGAAGCAATGCGATAAATGGAAAGCCGATGGAAGGCCTCCTAAACCACGCTCTGCTACCATGTTAATATTGTTAATAATATTAGATCGTCTAACTAGAAAAAACTTCCTTGTAATAAAATAATGACTGTGACTTATTATTATTTTATTTCCATCAAAATTGACATATATACTTGTCTAAACTACAAAACTTAACTCATTAACTTATTTACAACATAGGATGGTAAATTACGTAGATGCCTTCTTCATTCTGCTTTAACACATTTATGGATTATGAACTTTTGAATCTAAAAATCGCGTTTTCCAAAATTTTACAAAATTGTAATTTTAAATAATTGTATTTGGTTAAGAAAAAAAAGCTTGTCTATCAAAATAACACACCTACCTTCTTAAATTGACGATATTACACCAAAATTAGTGGTTTTTACACGTTTTTTTTCTTTGGATCTAATAGATTGGGGCTGTTGCTTACATGAATACAATACGAAAGAAATATAGTATTGATTGTGTGAGAGGTTAGTTTTATACGACCCTGTATCGTCAGTCAAAATGTACCCATCCGGCACCTATTAGCATTTATACGTTTATATCAGCTACCTACTTAATATTCTAATCAAAAATTCTATTGTTGTTTCAGCTCCAGTATCCGTCAAGGAAAGAAGGAAGCTCAAATGACTCTTTCTAGTCAGGTCTGATAAACATAATAAAGCGACGTCCCAACGTCAACTACGCAACAATGGACTTTGGTGAGTATTCATCGTATTTATATTTTTTTATTTGAAACGCTGGCGTTGAAGCGTTGATAACCCCGTGGGGATGGTACAGCCCGGAGAAATATCAATTTTATTTATAATTTACGAGCGGCACACTGACGCTTGGAAACGTTTTTAATATTTTACCGAGAATATTATGTCGAATATAAATATGAGTTGGAAATCACGTACAGGGTGAGCTGGCGGATATGTGTATCGTTCAATTTTAAGAAATTACTTAAGCATTTATACCTACAAAAAATATAGTGATCAATAAATGTCGATTGGGTTTTAGGACAGGGGAATAATATTAATACAAAATAAAATTGGTGAAAAATTCTCCAGTTCAGCTTAATTAATAACAATTAATAGTTAAAAATAATTATCAATGGTGTCCACAAGGTGTCTCTCATAGAGGTTCAAAATATTTACTATTTACTTCAAATAAGATTTTCTACAATGTCTATCTAATCTATCTAATTAGACTTTTTCGTTCCATATTTGGACTTTCCAATTCTTTTCCATTCTTCTCTGTGTGTCGCTACAGTTATCCACCTAGAGCCAACGTGCTTCTTGATATCATCTGCCCATCTCATTTGGGGCCTTCCTCTGTTTCGTTTATATTTCCACGGTCTTCAACATAAAAATTTTGTTCAGTCGGTCTTCTTTTTGTGGTATATTGTGTCCGGCAAATCTACATTTCAATTTTGCAACTTCTTGTCTAACATCCCTCACTTTTGTTTTCTCCCTTATCCACTCGTTTCTCTTTGTATCCATTAGTCTTATGTACAACATTTGTCTTTTCATGTCCATGTCCATTTTCGTTGGGGCTTCTTTTTGTAAAAGGAGTTCATTACGTATAGATGCTTTCCTTCTAGGTAGTTCATCAAAGTAGTACCTCTATCATTTCTCTGATCATACCCGAAATCTCCTAATTTAGTTTTTTCTTTGTTTAGTTTTCTACCCAGTTTGGCATTGAAATCTCCAATTAGTAATGTAAGATGATTTTTATGTTCTTCCATAGCCTTTGATATATCATCACAAAATAGTTCTATATCTTCGTCATCTTAAGCTGTCTTGGGGTCATATGCCTGGATAATTTTAATTGATGTTCTTCTTATTTTAAGTATGACATAGGCGACACGATCTGATATACTGTTGATAATTTGGATACTCTTTTCCTTTATAATACAGTAGATTACCGGATTTTAGCTGTATTCGGTTTTCTTCTTTTCGTCGAGTTTCTGATAGGCCAATAATATCTCATTTTATGTTTGTTAATTCTTCTTCTAGTTCATGTACTTTTTCATTCGTGGACATTGATCTAATATTGTATGTCCCTATTGACAGGTTGGCGGATTTTTTTTATTTAGGTTGTGCTCGTCTTGGTGGGTTTTTATTTTTATCTATCAAAATGGAATTATTGCCTCCCTAGATACCTTTGAGGTGTGGGATTCAGAAATTTTCTTACCCATCTGAGGACTATTTCCTTTTGTTTAATTATTCGTCATGATAAAAGTAGGGTAGTTGGTGATACAATGTACTAATGTACTAATAAATGTGCATGTACTAATAAATCCACAGATATAAAATAGCCGTATAAAGAATAGCTATTATATCAAGAAGACGAAGATAACCTAGACCTAGAATAAATATGGCAAAGTACAAACGATGTGATAATTGGCAAATAATAAAATAATTCTACAAAAGTACCAAAAAAACAGAGAAAAGAACAAGGTCGATAAAGTGTGCTTTAAAATAGCCGAAGAAAAGAAAATACTAAAGTAAGTGACACTATACTAAAATCATAATCAAGATGCAATAGAAATATCATCATCATCATCATCCTGGTGCTACAGCCCTTAGAGGGCCTCGACCTTCTCAAGCTTTCTACGTCATTCTGTTCTGTCCCTTGCTTGAATTTTCCAGTTGCCGAATCCGATCTCCGCATCTTGTGTTACCCCATCCATCCACCTCAGCTTTGGTCTACCCCGTCGTCTCATTCCCACAGGTTGCGCTGTTAGAATCTTTTTTATCATGTTCGATTCAGGGGCCCGGGCTACATGTCCTGCCCACTGCAGGCGGTTTCGCTTAATTATAGTGGTAATATCTTTACCATCAAACGTATGCTTGTAGATATTCTGCAGTTCGAAGTTATATCTACGCCTCCATATTCCGTTCTCACAGACCGCTCCAAATATATTGCGTAGCACCTTTCTTTCAAAAATGGATAGAGCGGATTCATCTGTTTTCGTTAGCGTCCATGCCTCTGATCCGTATGTAAGAACGGGGACTATCAGTGTTCTATACAGCCTTATACGAGTTTTTTGAGACAGACGTTTGTTAGCTAAGTACTTTGATAGACCATAATAACACCTGTTTGCAATTATTATTCGCCTTTTTATTTCCTCAGATGTATTATTATTGGGGTTAACCGATGTCCCTAGATATATGAATTCATTGACTGCTTCGAAGTTTTGGTCATTGATGATTGTGTCAACATTTCCAGCTCTTGTGTTTGTGTTAGTCGCCATGAATTTGGTTTTATTTTGATTTATATGTAACCCCATTCGTTCTGCTGCTGCTACTAGCTCGGTTAGGATTTCCGCAGTTCTCGCCCTAGTTCTTGTTATAATGTCCACGTCGTCTGCATATGCTGCAATAGAAATAAACAAACCAAAATACGTTAAATGTTACAAAGAGCAATCTTTCTCAATAATTATTTACAATGTATATACATTGTATAAATCCCAAATCATGATTTACAAAGTTTGTACATTGTAAATCATGATTCATGAGTGTTCCTCGTAACATTCAAGTGTTTTGGTTTGTTTATTTCTAGTGCATCTTGATTTTGATTTTAGTATAGTAAACAACAATTTTATCCTGAACCAACGTTACAATAACAAAGAAGAAAAATGATAAGAATATGTAGAGGATATATACGCATTACCTTATGGTTATAGTAGATCGGGTCAGGGCCCATTTGTGAGCCCTTCAGACACCTAGACCTCCTAAGACGGTCCATTGAATCACCTCTAGGTCTTTATGGACCTACTCCGGGCTCCCTTATCTACTATAATCGGCACTCGCTTGTACTCAAGAATCAGCTTAGAGTAGACTTTGGTAGCTTCCAAACCACTTAGCGCTGCTTGACTGCTTGACTGTCAGAGCAGATAGAGATGGTCCTGCCTGAGCAAGGCGTATCTATTATCTTCTGATTACATACCAGGATCACAAAGATCTCGACCTAAAAGATTGATGCATAGAAGCCGAGAATCTGGTCAGATTCAAATCTGGTTCCGCTACCATATACTACAGCACCCGCCCGTTCGTTTATTCTGGACCCATCCGTGAACCAGGTGAGCCCGCTGCGACAAACCAGTGAAGGCCACTGTTGAGTTCCATCCACTGTTTCCGACAGGAAATTGAACCAAGAAGGAGCATGAGAACTCAAATTGGGGGGCCATGCTGTCCTGTATCATAAAGAGTACAGAACAACAATCGAGAGCCTGTATCTAAATGTCACAATGGCTCATCTGCCCAAACATTCCCAACCAGTATCCAGAGCAATTGAGACGATATGCTACCACCATGGTCTCGTGTTCTGCAATAAGATATTGAGGAGATAAGTCCAACAGACACTCAAGAGCACTGTGGGAGTGGTCCTCATGGTTTTTGAAATGTAAACCGCCAAAGAGGAGTCAACTGGACCTTAGCTGAAGCCATTGTACCCCGGAGCCACCATATAATGGCCGCACACGTCAGTATAAGCTTTATCATGAATTGATACATCCAATGTAAAATTTTCGGCTGCAGATCCCCTTTGGGCTCCAAAAGCTCTCCTGCACTCCTAAAAAGTTACAGCAGCCTTCTTTACTTTGACGTAGAGATCTTCTTTTCATAAAAGTTTAGAATCGCTCCTAGGTACTTCACTAACTGGGAAACCGATAAAGCTTTACCTCGTAAGCAAAATCTCTCTGGTAGGTCCGATGGCCCTTCTCCGAGTGAACGGGACCACAGCAGAGCCCTCAACCTGTAGAACGACGTCATCGGCGTAGGCTTCTACAACACATTACCTCATAGTATAATCAAGAATTAGATCTACACTCATAGTCACTGTCCTGTATATTCATTTAGATTGTAATTTTTTTTAAGTTATAACATTTTTGCTCGTCTTCGACAGTGCTTCAAGAGACTTTGCTATTTACTTCTAAATGTACTATGCTAATATACCTATTTTGCCTGTGAGATTATCGAAAAAACTTCTATTCTAACAAATAGTATAAGTGCCTTATATCGAAATTAACGGATATTGCCGATAATTTTTCAATGCTCGAAGCTTACTATCAGATAGGTTACGTGGGTAATTGCGTTTATTTACTATGCCGGGAATTTTGATTTATTAAAGAATATAGTGAATGAATATAACGAGGAAGATGTGCATTGTATACAGGAAGTACTAAACATGATTTGCAAATAAAATGTTGGCGACGAGCTGCTTGACAATAAGACTGATTTTTATTGTTTGCCGCATTAAATATAATAAAATTTCTCTAAAAATAGATGCATATACCTCAGAAAGAAAAGTGGAAGGTGGATGTTCCCAGAAGATGTAACACTTTACGAAGAAAATATTAAGACTAGTTTGGATACAAACGACTTAAAAAATATCAGCGTCAATGAAATGAACAATAATATTACTCAAATATTGAAAGAATATGAAAAGAAATACTGTCCTCGTCCTGAAAACAATAACAAAAAATTAAGCCACAACACAAAACATGTTCTAGAGGAAAGAAGAAAACTTATCATAACCAAAATGAACTAAGAATTTTGAATAAGAAAATTAAAAAGGAAGTTAGAAAAGATCTGAGACGATACAATACGATGGAAATAACTAGAGTAATAGAAGAAACCAAAAGCTTGAAAGTACTCAGACAGAGCATGTCCATTGGAAGAAACAACGTCCACAAATTAAGAAATGAACAGGG